AATGCTCACCGAGGATAGCTAAATGTAGACCCTGCATTTTCCATGAACGGAAGTGCAGTGTTGGTGCCATATCGATAGCCCCTGTAGGGAGAACACATCTTTACAAGCATCAAATGCACAGATTCAAGGGGTTTAAGACAACATGCATCATCTCTATACCTCAGTGGCAATCCTCTTATTTTTCTATCAAAGTATATCTAAAGCCAAAAACATTTTCTTTTCATCTTACATAGATTAGGGAATAGTTGAGCCTCTTTTGGGGGGTAAAGGGTGTTGTGGTTATGCCTTGATGATGAGAGATGCTAGGATGCTAGTACTGAGCACATCCATTTTGACATCTGGTCCTCTACAACACAAAAGCTGTCAGTACTGCTACAACCCAACCCAATTGCTACTACAACCCAATTCGTATCCTGTAGCAACTGTAAATAACATGAGGGAAAAGCATGAAAGAAGGCTACCCTCTGCCATCCCAATCACAGCATAGTCTGACCCCATGCAGAGGGCTGAAGACTGGTGAGCAGCTTAGGGCATTTTCTGTACGGAGCACTTTCTGGCAGCCCAGAAACAGGAGACAGAAGTCCACACTGCCTAACACATTATTATTATTATTATACAGTATTTATAAAGCGCCGATAGTTCGCTCAGTGCTGTACATTACAAAGGGGGACAGAACATGTGACAGAACAATACCAATACAATGCAAAACATGAGGGGATTGAGGGCCCTGCTATTTCGAGCTTACAATCTAGGAGGGAGGGGATAGGGGCACAGGAGGAGATAGCTGTGGGGGATGGAGTGGTAGGAAGAGTGGAGGAGGTCGGTCAAGTTAGCAGGGGGTAGGCTTCCCTGAAGAGATGGGTTTTCAGGGTGCGCCTAAAGGAGAGGAGAGTAGGTGATAATCTGATGGGTTGGGGGAGTTCCAGAGGATGGGTGACACCCTGGAGAAGTCCTGGAGGCGGGCATGGGAGGAGGAGACCAGGGAACTAGAGAGAAGGAGGTCTTGTGAGGAGCGGAGTGTGCATGCTGGGTGGTACTTGGATATTAGGTCGGTGATGTAGTTCGGGGCAGTATGGTGGACAGCTTTGTACGTCAGTGTTAGAATTTTAAATTTGATCCGTTGCGCAATCGGAAACCAGTGGAGGGAATGGCAGAGGGGGGGTGGCGGAAACGGAGCGGTTGGATAGGTGAATGAGTCTGGCAGCCGTATTCAGGATCGACTGAAGCGGGGATAGCCAGCGGCGAGGCAGGCCAGTGAGGAGGGAGTTGCAGTAGTCGAGTCGTGATATGATGAGGGAGTGGATGAGCTATTTAGTGGTTTCTGGGGTTAGGAACGTGCGGATTTTGGCGATGTTGCGGAGGTGGAGTCTACACATGGGTCAGACTCAAGGGAGGAGGATGTATGCTACAGCAGCCATTTACCTGTACCCTAACCATTTTGAGGGACTAGCAAAACACCTAACATCCAGACTGAAATCACAAGTATCATCCTGAGAAGCAACCTGAAACACCTAATATCTGGAATAGAAGATTGAAGAAACCATTTAAAGTATCACTAAAGGCAAAACTATTTTTTTACAGTTTTGATTATGGTGGAGAGGGATTAGAACACATATTAGGTTTTTATTGCTGCCTGTGCCCCCATTAGGGAGATTCATCCTCTCTATTTGTCCTGTTTATGGTTATTGAAAATGAAAGTAAATGAAAATTCCAAATTTTGGGTTGACATCAAAATAGTAATAGAAGGGAAATCTTCCAAAAGGGACACTAGTTCTGGTGCAGCTCGGAATTCCCTCACTTCCTCTTTTGGCTATAGAACAGGAAGTAAAGGGAAATCTCCCCAACAGAACACAGATACTCCAAAAAAAAAAAAAAACTAACAGGGGTTATAAGCCTCCCTCTCTCTATCCAAAAATGAAAAAAAAAAAAGTTTTGCTTTAGTAACACTTTAAGCCTCACAGGCCCAGCTGATTCAACAGTTGCAACAAAAAGCTAACAAACATACACTATATTGTCAAACGTATTGGGACACCCCTCCAAATCATTGGATTCCGGTGTTCCAATCACCTCCATGACCACAGGTGCATAAAATCAAGCACTTAGGCATGCAGACTGCTTCTACAAACATTTGTGAAAGAATGGGTCGCTCTCAGGACCTCAGTGAATTCAAGCATGGTACTGTGATAGGTTGCCACCTGTGCAATAAGTCCATCCATGAAATTTCCTTGCTACTAAATATTCCATGGTCAACTGTAAGTGGTATTATAACAAAGTGGAAGCAACTGGGAACAGCAACTCAGCCATGAAGTGGTAGGCCACATAAAATGACATAGTGGGGTCAGTGCATGCTCAGAAGTCGCCAACTGTCTGCAGAGTCAATAGCTAAAGACCTCCAAACTTCATGTGGCCTTCAGATTAGCACAACAGTGCATAGAGAGCTTCATGGAATGAGTTTCAATGGCTGAGCAGCTGTATCCAAGCCTTACACCACCTAGTGCAATGCAAAGCGTTGGATGCAGTGGTGTAAAGCATGCCACCACTGGACTCTGGAGCAGTGGAGACGTGTTCTCTGGAGTGAATCACACTTCTCTGTCTGGCAATCTGATGGACGTGTCTGGGTTTGTCGGTTGCCATGGAATCAGTACTTGTCTGACTGTACTGTGCCAAGTGTAAAGTTTGGTGGAGGGGGGATTATCATGTTGGGTTTGTCTTTCAGGGGTTAGACTTGGCCCCATTTTGGACAATTTCATGCTCCCACCTTTGTGGGAACAGTTTGGGGATGACCCCTTCCTGTTCCAACATGACTGCGCACCAGTGCACAAAGCAAGGTCCATAAAGAGTGGAGACTGTGAGCCAGGCCTTCTTGTCAGACATCAGTGCCTGACCTCACAAATGTGCTTCTAGAAGAATGGTCAAACATTCCCACAGACACACTCCTAAATCTTGTGGACAGCCTTCCCAGAAGAGCTGCAAAGGGTGGGCCAGCTCAATATTGAACCCTACGTGCCAAGACGTGGATGCCATTACAATTCACGTGTGTGTAAAGACAGGCGTCCCAATACATTTGTATATATTACAATATAGTGTAGCACCATTCTTAGATCCCAAATGTTTAAAATGGAGGGTCAAGAAAAAAAGGGTTTGCTGCAACAACTTACATATCAGAAACCTACCTGAAGAGACCACAACTTGGCAGAGACTATCAGAGAGATATTAAAATGAGACATATAGCCTTTTTGGCTGTACTTCTATGGATCACAGGAGTATGCAGTTCATTTTGCACTCCTGTGACCCGTTTTCAGCCATCAGCGGGCAAAAGCCTGCTGTCGGCTGATGTAAGAGCTGGACCAGGCTCTGAAAAGATCCTGAGCATATGGTCAGGATCTGCTGAGAAACCTGGACATTTGAATGGTCTGCTGTACCTGTGGGAAACAAAGGAAACAGGTCCCACACCCTTTTTCCAAAACGCACCCGCATGGAACTGCATGTTGCTGTGGCACCATGTGGTTTTTACCACCAGAAAAATGTGCTGGTTTTCAAATACCTGGGGGTGCCATTAAGAATTAATGGCACCCCCGCGCATCTACTAAAGAGCAGAGCATTTTGGCAGCACGAATGCATGCAATTTGCATACACTCCTGTTCCCGCAATGTGTGAACCTAACCTAAGACATGTTATGTCCTGTTTTCCAGCCAGCTAGCGGACTAGCGGGGATCTGCAACAAAGGGATGTGATCTACCCATCAATGGGTTGATGCAGTTTTGCTGTCTGCAGTGAGGAGATCTGCATTGCAGCCAGGAAGTCTCCATTGTCTGAAGTTTACCTGCTGGGTGAGCTTGCCTCCAACGGGGACTTTCAAATACTGTGTGTGTTCATATAGGACTGATGTATTTTAAAATAAAATTAACTGTAGGGGTCTTTTAATATTTACAGCAGGCAGCTAGCCAACAAGAGAAACAAATTTTGCTAGTGCAGAACAAAACTCATCAAGCAACTAAAACCAAAATATTGTTCTGGCTGTACTGATCCTTTATATTGTTTATCATCATTTATAGTCTTCTAAACTGAGGCGAAAACTACACTGACGCCATTTCTTTGCATTGGTTTTCATGCAGTTGCTTCAGGATATGCAATCACGTGAAAAAGGTAAGTACACCCCATAGAATTTGTTGACTTCTGCAACACATCTGAACAGGCAATAATGGATCTTGCTTGAAATAATGCCTACAAAGGTGATATGATCTTGATTAACAAAAATGCAAATTTGTATTATTGGAAACATTATACCCTGAATATTCCTGCAAACCATAGACAGTATTTCAGGAGAACCTTGTAACAACTGTGAAACATGGTGGTGAAACTGTTATTATTCAAGGTTGCATTGGTAATTCAGTGCCTGAGCAGCTTGCACCCAGCAAACCAACTACACAATCTGCATCATATCAGTGTACTTGATGAGAACATGAGGCTATCTGTCCAAAAGTTGAAGTTGAACTGGAAAGGAGTCTTTCAGAAAGAAAATGATCCAAAGCACACTATCAAATCCATCCAGGAATGCCTCAAAAAGAAGAATGTTAAGTTTATGGAATGCTCTCACTCAAAGCCCTGATTTGATTACCTCTGAAATTTTTAGAGAGATTTTGAAACGTTCATGCATGGAAACGCACAAACATCTTGCAAGTGAAGGAATTTTGAATGGGGAAGTGGTCAAAAAATTCTGTTACAGAGGGCAATGTCAGCTTCTGATGACAAGAGTGTACTTACTTTTTCCACAACACACATTACATCTATTTAAACTTTTGTTGAAAAAAATTAATTGAAAAGACAAGCTTTCCTTGAGTTTTTATTAACCTTATCTGAGCACTGTTGAATGAAGGTCTAATGTCTGCCTGGTGACAAAGTCAACTACCATGGGGTGTGCTTATTTTTTCTTCTGATTGTAATGTAGAGAGAATATTTTAGTATACTTGATTAAAATAAAAAAAAACAAACATACTAACCTTTACGTGCTGTGCTAGGAAGTCAGGCAGGGTATGTATATGGGCAAGTAGTTCAATGTAGTCTTGACAACAAAAGTAATAAATCTGTGAAAGGATGTTATTTACAGTAAATCTTTGCATAGCTAGTCTGTGACCTGAAAAAAACATGATAAAAAACAAAAAAAAAGCATTATTTAGGACAAAACTGAATAAAATATTACTCCACTGATAATAAGCATGTGTGTATACAGTGGTGAAAATTATTTTTTTGATCCCCTGCAGATTTTTGTAAGTTTGCTCACTTTACAAAGAAATGAAGGGTCTATAATTTTTATCACAGGTGTATTTGAAATGATAGAGACAGAATATCAACCGAAAAAAACCAGAAAAAACACAGGATACAAATGTTACACATTGAGTTGCAGTTCTGTGAGTAAAATAAGTATTTGATCCCCCACCAACCAACAATAATTCTGGCTATCTGCTCATGTGGTAAACAGATTAGTCCTGTCAATTTAAGAAGGTGCTCCTAATGAGAACTCGTTATGTGTATAAAGGACACCTGTTCACAGAATCTCTTTCTTCCATTCAAACCTCATCACCATGGGCAAGACCAAGGAGCATTCAAAGACGTCAGGGACAAGATTGTAGAGACTGGAATAGGCTACAAGACCATCAGCAAAAAGCTAGGTGAGAAGGAGGCAACTGTTGAAGTGATTATTTGCAATTGGAAGAAATACAAAATAACCATCAAAATCGCCCTTGGTCTGGAGCTTCATGCAATATTTCGCCTCATGGGGTAAGGATGATCATGAGAAAAAGTGATCAGCCCAGAACTACACGGGAGGAGCTTGTGAATGATCTCAAGGCAGTTGGGACCACAGTCACCAAACAAACCATTGGTAACACAATACGCTGCCATGAATTGAAATCTGCAGCACCCGCAAGGTCCCCCTCCTCAAGAGGGCACATGTACAGGCCAGTCTGAACTTAGCCAATTAACATCTAAATGATTCAGAGAAGGATTGGGAGAAAGTGATGTGGTCAGATGAGACCAAAATTTATCTTTTGGCATTAACTCGACTCGACGTGTTTGGAGGAATAAAAATGCTAACTATGACCCTAAAAACACCATCCCTACAGTCATGCATGGAGGTGGAAACATTATGCTTTGGGGCTGTTTCTCTGCTTAAATTACTGGCTGACTTTGCCTCATTGAGGGGCCCATGGACAGGGCCATGTATTGAAAAAACTTGGATGAGAACCTTCTTCCCTCAGCCAGAACACTGAAGATGGGTTGTGGATGGGATGGTCTTCCAGGAAGACAATGACCCAAAACATACTGCCAAGGCAATAAAGGAGTGGCATAAAGGTCATGGAATGGCCTATCCAGTCTCCAGTCCTCAATCCTATAGAAAATATCTGGAGGGAGCTGAAACTTCTGGTTGCCAAAACCTTGAAGATTTAGAGACGATCTGTAAAGAAGAGTGGACCAAAATCCCTCCTGAGATGTGTGCAAACCTGGTAACCAACTACAAGAAACATCTTACCATCTTACATGTTGTGCTTGCCAACATGGTTTTCTCCACTAAGTACCAAGTCTGTTTTGCTTGGGGATCAAATACTTATTTTACTCACTGAACTGCAGCTCAATTTAAAACTTTTGTATCATGAGTTTTTCTTGATTTTTGGTTTCTATTCTGTCTCTTTAATTGAAAGGTACACCTATGATAAAAATTATAGACCCTTCATTTCTTTGTAAGTGGGCAAACTTATAAAAATCTGCAGGGGATCAAATAATTATTTTTTGCCACTGTATATGGTGTACGCATTTACTATCATTACATTTGATTTATTAGGAAGTGTAATAGGCAACAGAAACATTTTCTATTGCCTATAAATCTTATAGATTTACAATATAGCATGATATTCTTGCAGCAACTACATACAAAAGTGATAAAATATGACTTTTTAATATTTTATATTTAACATTAATTTTTTATTTCTGGATTTGTCCCCCTTTCTTGACCTCTGGTTCAGCGTTTCCTTTTTTTGTCAGTTAAATTTCAGGGGCTTGTATAGTTTTTACATAATGATTTTGTAGATCTTCTATTTGGTAATATTTATATACAGAAATATGTGGTAACATATTTCCAAAAAGTTTTAGGGAATATCTGTCCAAAAATATATTTTAATATTTGTGTAATACATTTCTTGTTTTAAATAAATTTTTTCATAACATACGAAGGATATTATGTTGATAATTTTTTTGCGCTGATTTTTTTACTTTTTGTAGTAGATTTTACTTTTGACCACAAGATGGTGCATTATAGAAGTTGTCAACACTTATGGTGCCATAGTACAGTGGTGGGCAACCTTTTTTTTTCAACTGAGCCAAATCTCGCCAAAACCACGATTGAAATTTATTTTGAGAGCCACATTTTTAAAACTGAAAATATATAGGATGGTACACTGTTCTTAGTTTCAATAAGTTTTTATAGTATCCCCCATTAATTCATCCCCCATAGTAATTCATCCCCCATATAGTAATTCATCCCCCCATATGGCAATTCATCCCCCATTCAATTCATCCCCCATATGGTAATTCATCCCCCATAGTAATTCATCCCCCCTATAGTAATTCATCCCCCATATTAATTCATCCCTAATATAATTCATCCCTAATAGTAAGTAAGTAAGTAGCAAGTAGTAAGCCAAGTCCCCCCTGTGTCAATTCACTTACCTTTGCTCCGCGCGTTCCTCTCGCCGTGTTCCCGCGCCGTTCCGGTCTTCAGGGCGGACTGTGAGAGGAGCCTAGCTCCTCTCACGTTCATCACGCTGCTCCGCCTACACACATCCTGACAGCCAATCACTGGCTATCAGGATGTGAGTGGCAGCGAGACTGGCCAATCACTGCATTTGAGCGCGCTGCCCTGGCTGTTTTTTTTTTGGATCACGCTGCAGAGTCCCTGCCGCCCGAGAGGAGGGAGGGGAGCGGGCGCCCGGCACACAAGAGCCGCATTAAAGTGTGTAAAGAGCCGCATGTGGCTCGCGAGCCGCGGCTTGCCGACCACTGCCATAGTACCATTCATGAGGCAGCAGTGAATGTGTTTAGCACTGCAATATTTATGCATGGCCATCAATCTCTGCCCTGTGTACTCTAATTAGGAGATCTTCCTTCTTGTGGTGTTCTGTATAAAAGGGAAGCGTGGCAGCGTGTGTTCCATGCTCCTGACAACGTCAACTTTGATGAAATTAGTAGGGCAGAGACGGAACACACTCCACTGCCTATACGCGATCCTGCTGCAGCCATCTAGGGTTCTGGAACATGTTGTTTATATTAAATGAAGTGCCTGGTTGTCATCTTTTCATTGTAAGTGCATTTACCACATTAAATTGGTATTTTAATCTGGATAAAACTATGGAGAACCTGTCTTTCTTTTTTCATGATACTATGTCCAACTAAGTATATATGCACAGCGATCTAATGTAACAAAGAAGTACCATCGTTTAACATGTGGTTTTAAGGAAAGCTGGATGTCTTGGATTGATACAAAAGTGCTGGTTGACCACTCTTAAAGTGATAGTAAAATCAGTTTTTGTACTTGTACCTACCGGTAAGCACTGTTTAGGAGATATTTACCTGTGTTTGGCATTGGCACATGTGCTCTGAAGGAACGTGTAGGTTTATTCAGAGCTGTGTGCCATAAAAAGTCACTCCCACACACATGCTTAGGAGTGATGTCATCACAGCTCGGCCATTCAAGCCGCCAGAGCCCGGGAAAACTGGAAGAAGGACTGGGTGAAGAAGGAATCCCTGTCAGACGTGGCAGCACACCCCCTGGAGGGCTTTGTTTTAAGGGAAGCGTCACATAATGTGCTAGTATGCATATGTAGGTTTTTCTTTTAAAAAAGGTTGCCGTTTATTACTGCTTTAATTGGGGGTCATAGAATTCTGGTAAGCCTCCTTCTGTTGTACACCGAGGTGCTGTGTGGTTTATCATTAAGAAGTTTGGTGGCATTTGATATCCACATCTGCCATTTCTCTCATAATCGAAGAACCATTGAATTCACAGTTTTTAGATTCAAGGATTCCTTTGTTTTATTTTTTCAATTTGTGGTGACACATAAGAGTTTGATATATTTGCATTGAACTATTGTATTGCACATACACATTAATTTATCCTAGAGCTGCACTATTGTTTTGTGATATACTATATAAACTGCATAAAAAAAATGGGTGTACTTACCTATTTTTAACCCACTCCAGTTCAGTCACATAATGCTGCAGCTTAGGCTCAGAGAGAGTTCGACAACAGCAGGGAATTCCGGGAGCCATGACATCACACATAGGATGTTATTTACTAAAACTGCATGGTGCAAAATCTGGTACAGCTCTGCATAGAAACCTGTCAGTTTCCAGGCTTTATTGTCAAAGCCTAATTGAACAAGCTGAAGTTAGAAGCTTAATGTCTACCATGCACAGCTGCACCAGATTCTGAGTGCACAAGTTTTAGTAAATCTCCCCCAAAGGCTCCTTTGGCTCAGCCATTGTTGGCGCTCTCTCCTCTCCCTTGCAGCTGATATGGGGGAGCTGGAGCTGCGGTATCATAGGACCGAACCAGATTAAAATAGGCAAGTGCACAAATCTTTTATACAGGTTAGGCAGGATAATTAGGAGGAGGTGGAAGGAATATTTTTAAAAATGGATAGTGATAAGCTTTTTTTTTTCCCCAATTTTAAATTGAAACTTAACTGTATCTGAGCATCACAAACCGAAAACACTATTTAATTAATTTTTAATATTGAAAGCAAACTCCCATTCATTCATGTATTATTTTGTTGAGAAAATCACTTTGGAAAAACACTCCCTAGCATCTTCACTCATGGCCATCTTGACTAAGGGCAGATGATTCATGTAGCATTTACCTCCTGGAATTCATCTTTCCTTAGTGCAGGCATGCCAGCAGAAGGGTGTGCTTAGCTGAAAAAGCCCTTCCTCCGAATGAAAGAATAAAAAATGCTCAAGAAGACTCCTGGGATGTTTGGTAACATTTTGGCTGACGCCAAAAACCAGGAAACAACCGAAGAAATGCAAGAATAATGTTTAAAACAAGTACATAGAATATACCTTCCTATCTTTTTACTAAGGCTA